AGGAATCCACACAGACCCTGGCTGCAGTAAGGCCATGTACCTCAAACTTAATAAGAATTTAAGAAATATTGCGTTTGCTTATGCATGTGTGCGCATGCATGCACTCAAGTGTTCGTGTCAACATCAGTACAACTTGGAAGAGGAGTTTTCTTCCACCATGTGAGCCTGGGATCAGATTCAGGCCATCAGATTCTGCAGCACTCACCTCTACCATTGAACCAGCTGGTCCAAGAATAGGATATTTGGGGGCTCGTGAGATGTCTTAGTAGTTAAGAGCACTGACTGTGCTCCCAGAGGTCTTGAGTTCAATTCGCAGCAACCACCTGGTGGCTCACAACCATCTCTAGTGGGATCTGATGCCAAATTCTGGCATCAAGTTGTGCATGCAGATGGAGCACTAATATACATTAAAATAAATCTTTAATAAGAAAAAGGATATTTTAAGGGATAGTCACACTGAACCCCAAGTTTGTGTTAATTAAATAAAATCAAGCTTCTCTGATCTAGCAGGTTTTCACCCCCACATTTGATGTCCTTGTCTTTGTTGGTAACTAGAACGATAGAGACTTGGTTTTAACCTACATATCAAGACTGAGGCAGAGCCAGGCTGCAGGACTGGAAGACCCTCCAGGCTGTGGCCTGGGTGGCTGGCAGGATGCTGACTGTGTGCCCAATAGGCCACAGATGATAATTAAAATATCAGATTCATGTGCAGTCACTAAACCTACAGAAAAATGTCAATAAATCATCATTTTCTAAAGACATAGACTTCAAGCCCTAGGGCCAGTGCTACTCTTGGGGAACTTTGCTGGCTTATTAGAGTTGTCCTCACTGTCAGCTCGGTGCTCTCATTCATTCAGCCACGAAGCCTTCTACAGGGCCTAGCCCCATGTGTGTGCTCAATGCTTAGGTGATGGTGAGCTTGGCCCCTACTCTGAGGCCAAGTGCCTCATCCAAAGGCAGCCTCCTGTAGACTAAGGAGACAGGCTTCATGCAAAAGTCATCCTGACTGGCCAAATTCTACCCAGGCAAATCTAAGTCACAAGGGAGCAGCGCCAAGCCAGAAACAAGGAGCAGGTAGAGAGATCCTGTCTGTTGCAGGCGGCTGCCAGCAGCAACTTACCCGCAGGACAGCTGGTCCCTTTCTCCTTCCAGACCGCAGCCTGGCATTGAACTCCCTTTATCTCAAGGTTAGTTTGAGTTTCCAGTTCTTACTGCCAAAGGTCAGACTGGCACATGTGTGAATGTTTATAATACTTAAAGGAACATTTTTCGGGATTAAGAGGTTACAGATGAATCATCCCAAATTAGAACGGAATGGTTCTGGTATCGTCTTATCCTTTCCAAGGGACACTTGGTTGGAGAAACTTTCTGCAAGGAAGGCAGGTGTCTCAGGGTATGTCTGTGTTCCTCTGGTTGCATGGTGGAATCGCCTGGGAAGTGGTTCTTCTTCTTGCCTGGCATCACCCATATAGTTTTCAGATGACACAGTTTTAGAATTTCTGCTTCTATTGGTCGACACGCCTTTAATCTCAGCACTTGGGAGGCAGAGGCAAGTGGATCTCTGTGAATTTGAGACTAGCCTGGTCTACATAGTGGGGGGGGGGTCCCAGGCCAGTCAGCAGCTACATAGTGAGAGATCTTCTCAAAAAACAAAACAAACAAAAGCAATGACATCATGAAATTTGCAGGTTGGATGGAATTTGGATGGAACTAAAAAACTATCCTGAGTGAGGTAACCCAGACTCAGAAAGACACAGTATGTACTCAGTCATAAGTAGATATTAGCTATAAAGCAAAGGATAACCAGACTATAGTCCACAGCTCCTGAGAAGTTAGAGCCTGCTTCCAGTAACTGATGGGACAGATGCAGAGATCACAACCAAGCACCAGGCTGAGCTCCAGAAATCTAGTCAGAGAGAGGGAGGAGGGAATACATGAATGAGGGAGATCAAGATCAAGATGTCCAGAGACAGCTGAACCAAGCTCGTGGAAACTCAAGAGCTAGCTTGTTAGAACCCATTCCCTATGAGGGGATGCTATGCTCAGACTTAATGCGGAGGGGAAGGGCTTGGTCCTGCCCCCATTTTAATGTGCCAAACTGTGTTGACTCCCTGTAGGAGCCTTTACCTGTCGGGAGGAGTTGATAGGGGATGGGATGGGTAGGGGGCAGAAGGTGGGGTAGGAAAGAGAACTTTGGTTGGAATGTAAAATGAAATAAAAAAAAATACATTTAAAAAACTAAAACAAATCTCACCAACTAGGTATGGGCACATCAGTCTGAATTCAGATAGGAACTTGTTGCAGGATATTTGAGCAAACTGTAAAGATGTGTCACTGTTTTACCTTGCCTGCCTAAGGCACATGATTAGTTTAATAAAGAGATGAATGGCCAGTAGCTAGACAGGAGAGGTTAGGCAGGACTTCCAGAGAGAGGGACTTGGGATTATTCTAGGTGCTTGAGAGAGATGCCAGCGAGACAAGAAGGGAGTCAAACATACATAACAGAGAGGTAAAAAGCCACATGGCAGAATGTAGATTAATAGAAACAGGTTAAGTTACAAGAGCTAGTTGGAAACAAACCTAAGTTAAAGGCCAAGTTTTTTTAATTAATAAGTCTCCATGTCCTTTTGTGGGGGCTGGAGGTCCCAAAAGAAAGTCCTACCAAGAAAGACCTATTACAAGAACTGAATGTTCAATTAGTTGACTATCTTTCTTTAGCTGTATTCTCCTAAAGTGAATCATCTGAGAACTATGGTATTTTTAATCGGTGTGGGCACACTGTGTGTGGGCACACCAGCCACGGCTCAAGTGGAGGTCAGGAGACAACAGTGTGGTATCAGTTCTTTTTCTGCCTTGATGTGGGTTCTGGGAGTCAACTTCTTCTGCCAGGCTTGCTTGTCAAATGCTTGCTGAGCCATCTCCCCCTCAGCATCGCAGGACTGTTTATGTATTTATAGTTAGTGTGCGTGTGAGTCCATTCTCAAGGCTCGGAGCCCATAAGTGGAGGTGAGGGGACAACTTCCAGGCCTCTGCTGTGTCCTTTCATGTGGGTCCCAGAAATTATGATGGAAAAAAAAAAAAAAGCAACAGGCTTGGTGTCAGGCCACTTTACCCACTGAGCTATCTCACCAGCGCTGTTTTTAAAGATTTTTATTTACATGTGCTTTTGTGTGTGCGCAGGCGCATGCATGCTCGTACGAGATGAAAACGCATGCGATCTCCTGGAGCTGGAAATACATTACATGTGGTTGTGAGCCACACACCATGTGCACCGAGCTCTGGCCCTCTGGAAGAGCAGCGAGCCCATCTGTTATAACAGAAAAACAATGTGCCTCCTTCTAAACGGTTTGAGAGCGCTCTACTGCACTGTACCCAGGCTTAAATATTTTAGTAATAATTACATGGGCTTTAATGGAGTTTGAAAGTATTAATCCTATTTGTTCTAGTTATTTAAATAAACCCACATTTTATAGGCTACAGGTAGAAGACTTCCAGCTCTGCTTTAAGAAAAGCATAGTTAATGAGCAGTTTAAAGCATTAAAAACAGTTAAGTCACATGTCTTTTACTATTTAAGATCAAGGTCGATAACAAAGTATTTGTTAGTGTAGTTAGTCTGGTATTTTAGCGCTGCAGGGCTGAAGGTGTGTAGGAGGTAGTTTTCTTGGTGCAGCAATGATCAGGTCGGCCCCCACTTCATGGACCTAAGGAGATGAACTCCCAAGTGGGCTTGTCCTGACGTGCTATTTAGAGGAAATGATCTTCCTTTTAGGAACGCAACTGCTCGGAGCGCTCATCTAGTTTGTGAACAGACCCAGCGGAGCTCGGGAACCGCTGTGCCTACCACCTCGTCCCCACCCCCACTTTCATCGCTTCAGCTGAAACCTTGGTCACCTACACACACGGAAGGGTCCACTCGGCTCGGAATCCAAATGGCGTTTGTGTCATTGGGACGCAATGAAGTATGCGGGCGAGGGTGGTGGTGCCAACATGAGGGCAATGAGTGAAGTGGGAGTAGATGATGAAAAACTCAACTTTCAAAGTCCTGGCAAGGAAGGTGGCTCCTTTACCTTTCGCTTCCCTTGACTAACTGCGCGCCCCTCGCTCCACTTTTCTCCCGCTCCTCAGGCAGCTTGCCTCAGCTTTTCAGTACGGCAACATGGCGCTTCCCTGTGCGGCGTGAGCGACTTCGAGCCGCCCTTCCCCGCGACCCTCGGCCCGCACCAGGTCCCGCTCCACAACCCGCGCTGGTTCATTTCCACACAAAAACACGGTGCGGCTCAGCTCCGAGCTACCGAGAGCCTCTCCGTGACAGCGGCAGAGCTGCCGTACAGGAATATGGCGGCGCCCTACGCTGGGCAGGCGCATCCCGGCTCACACCCGCCTCCCGTGCACAGCCCGGCTTTGAGGACCGGTCACCGTGGCGGCTGCCCCCCGCAGCCGGGCTGAGAGGACGGCCAGCAGCCCGACGAG